CCGGTCACTTGCAGATTGAGAGCTGCCACATGTTCTTAAACAGCAAGTATTCCAACATAAACAGATGCATCCAAAAAAAAAAAAAGGTGTTATACGTAGAATGGCAAGAAAGTATTATTTTGTGCTTTAACTTCACTTTTATAAAGTTTTGAAGGGTCTGGTAAACCTACCGCTTATTGAACATCTGCTGTGTACCAAGCACTGTGCTGGGCTCTTTAATCATTATCTTCATCCTCAGTACAAGCTCACAGGGTGGACATTATTAATTCTACTTTACAGAGGATGGTGCCTCAAAGATCCAATGACAGGAAGTTGTCTAAGACCACAGAGCTACTCCACAGCTCAGCTCTGCTGTCCACACGCGGATCCTTTCTGCTGCACCACCCTAGGGCCTCTTCCATTGTCTTGGGATTCTGCTTTTGAAGATGGTCAAAAATATGTCTGAAGAAAAGAGAAAAACATAAAATCCTTATATTTACTGACATATTTGCTATTTCCAGGACTCTTCATTTCTTCCTGCATTTCTGAGTTACTTACTATGTGCTGTAATTTCTCTTCTGACTGAAGGTTTTCCTTTAGTATTTCTTATGAGACGGGCCTGCTAGAGACAATTTCTCTCAGTTTTTGTTTATCTGGAAATATCTTCTATTTCGTCTTCATTTTTGAAAGACAGCTTCACTGGATACAGAATTCTAGGTGAACAGGATTTTTTTTCTTTTGGCTTTGTCTCTGGGTGTCTTCTACCGCTCCTCTCCCTCCTCCTCCGTCTTTTGACGGGAAGTCAGATGTTATTTTTGTCATTATCCTCCTGTATGTAATACTTGCCTTTTCTCAGCCTAATCATGACTCTCAGTCATGATTTTCTTTTGGCTTTGTCTCTGGGTGTCTTCTACCGCTCCTCTCCCTCCTCCTCCGTCTTTTGATGGGAAGTCAGATGTTATTTTTGTCGTTATCCTCCTGTATGTAATACTTGCCTTTTCTCAGCCTAATCATGACTCTCAGTCATGATTTTCTCTGTGTCCTTGGATTTCAACTGTGTGTTGTTTTGATTTCAGAAATGATGTAGAAATGCCTCAAGACTTGAAAGATAAACAGACGTCCCCAGGTGGGCAGTTTTGGGGCATACACGCTTTACCAGTGTTAAGAAAAAAGGCTGAAAGTTTAATGGTGGACTTTCACACTGATACTTCTAAATGTAGAGTTTTTGAGTTGGAAAGAGGTTTACATCTCCGGATCAATCCAACTGCCCTCAGTTCCATTAAATAAACACTGAGAGTTAATTACGTAAACTAATTGCCAAGCAGTGTGTTAGATGCCAATAGTACACCCACAAATAAACCGCAAGTGCCTGAGCCTGGGTGGCTTTATGGCTAGCGGAGGAGACAGCCATTCACACGGGTAATCTCAGTTCAAAGACTTGTATGAGGCGGGAAGGTTTTAAAAAGCTTTCTGGAAAAGGTAATACCTGCACAGAATCTTGAATGATAATTATGTGAAAAGGGCATGGGGTCTGGTGAAGAACGTTCCAGGCAGAAGGAACAGCATTATATAAGCAGGGAACTGCAGGCACTGACTTTCTGGAACCCAAGGAATGTACAAGCGATGAGGAAGGCCCTGAATGCTATGCATCCGAGCTTCCACTTTTCCTGCAAGTCAGTGACTTTCAGGTGTGAAGGATGAAGGAGAGGCTTGGGCACCTGCATGGATGGTGATGCCATTCACTAAAATGGGAATTGCTAGCTGTAGAAAAGCTTGTTGTGGGGAAGGAATCAGAAAATACTAAAATACATAGGTAATAAGGCAGGTGTTAAGAGGGCCTGTGGGGAAAGGACTGGGGTAGGGCGCTCTTTTGTAAAGGGTGGCCAAAGAGGGCCTTGCTGAGAAATTTGTGCACAGACCTAAAGACACTGAAAGTGAGCAGTGACTACATCCGGGGCAGAGCAGACCTGGAGTATTCTAAGAGCAAGGCGGCCAGCGTGGCTGGAGTGAAGCGAGCAGGGTGGGGGAGTGGCAGTGGGCAAAGTAAGGGACGGAGCAGGGACAGATGCTGCAGGGCCTGGGAGGGTAGTTTGGATTTTACAATGAAATGAGAAGCCATGAAGAAGTCACTCCCTGTGAGCAAGGGGAGACATGAACAAACGTTTTTTAAACAGCAGCCTGGATTCTGAGTGGACAAAGGGAGAAGCAAGGAGAACCTTTAGGAGGCTATTGTAATCATCCAAGTGAAAAACAGTGGTGGCTTGGATCACGATGGTAGCAGAAGGGGTATTAAGAAATGATCAGAGTGGGTATATCTTAAAGGTATAAACAACAGGATTTACTGATGGGATTTGGATGTAAGATGTGAAAGAGTCAAGAACTTTCTGACCTCAAGGTATTTGGGAAAATAAATTGGCATGTGCTCAAATAGGGAAATGTATGGAAGAAAAGATTAAAGGAGAAAATTGGGAGTTTGTTTTTGGTCATATTACATTTGCTATGACAATTAAACATCAAAGTGGAGGTGTTAAGTAGGCAGCTTGAGTCTGAGTTCAGAAGAGAGGTCTGGGTGGGAGATATGAGATATAATGAGGAAATATGCTTCAGAGGTCTTAACCACAGGAGATCGGGAAGACAGGAAGAAACTAGCAAAGAAGACTGAGAAGGAGCAGTCACCGAGAAAAGAGAAATAAGAAAGAGCAATGTCTTGGCAACCAAGTGAAGACTAGTTTGAGAGAGTGATTGTGTCCAATGCAGATAGATACTATTATTATTTACCACACTATTCTACCTATTTGGGGAGATCTATTTCGATAAGACCTGTGAAGTTAGTTTGAGGAACCATTTCTAACATCACCTTTATTATCAAATGAAGTTCTGCTGCAGGGCACAGGGCACTGAGCCACTAGACACGACACCTGAAGGCAGACCTGGAGAAGCGTCAGAAGCACATTGGCGTAAACAGTTTTGTCACTGGCCCTGCAAATGCCCTCATCAGAAGCCCAATTGCTCTCCTGGAGTGAGCTTGGTGAGGGATGGCTGCGGATGCTGTAAAGTCTGTGCTAAGCAACCAGGGGACATCTGCAATGAGGCTGACATCTGCGACCCACACAAAGGGCTGTATTGTGACTACTCGGCAGACAGGCCTAGGTACGAGACTGGAGTATGTGCATGTAAGTGTCTCTTCTGGACCTGTTGGAAAAGCTGCCTGGACAGATTATTTTTTTAAATTTTCCCAATTGTTAATTTGGAGTGATCTGCTTAGTTTGGCTAAATATGAGGTGGGTTTAGTTTTCATGTACCAGTGGGACTGGCTTCATCCTATCAGACAACATGTGAAATTAGCAGATGCTTACACATGTTCAGAAATCTATTATTTTCATTGCATTGAAGTGATCTTGCATTTCTTCTCAGAAATGACAGAAAGTAGGAGATAATCATGTAAATAGTCTGACTTCTTAAAGTGCCAGAAAATGACAGCGTTTGTTAATACTGTCAGAAACAATCTCAATTCAGCCTTTTCTGTAACTAAAAAATAATCTTGCTTAAAACTATAAGAATGTCTATCTAGTATCCAAATGTATTACTTTAATCTCAGCCTTCCCAAATAAACACCAAGTTACTGTACTTTTTACTGCAGCAGATTTGTAGAAAAGAAGATGGGGTCACCCCTAAACCACCTCTCAGCTTTATGGATCTAAACTCTGGAGACTGATTCAGACCATCTAAACTTACAACACATTAACACTAATTCAGGCTGCCAAATTATTTAGAATAAAAAAACTTCTAAGGGAACAGAAATATTCAGATCAGCTGGGCATTTAATCACTCTGTAAAAAAGTCTACATGGGAAGACAAATTGCTACCAGCAGTTTGGCTATGAGCATGAATTAGAGTTGGACTGAATGTGCAGAGACATCAAGTTTGGTAGCCCAATGCCCTGGCCACACTATATAGTATTGGTTAGGAATGTGGGCTCTGGGTTCAAATCCTGATTACTCTGTTGAGTGACTTGATCAAATTGTTTAATCCCTGTGCCTCATTACATTCTATGTATTTCCTAGCTTACAGAGTAGCTGGGAGGACCAAATGAAATGACATAAAACCTAAAACACCTAGCACAATGGCTGGTATGCAGTAGGCTCTCAAAAATGTTTACTACTTTTGGGAATTCTATGCGGAAATCATGACCTATCAAAGACTCTGGCATTCAGGACAGCCCTTTCTCCCAAACTAGACAGGTTATTTCATTAACCTAACAAACACTAAGTGACCATTCACTACTGGGCCAGGCACTGTGGCCAGAAATGGGACACAACAGGGAAAAAAAAGAGATACAGGACCTGTCCTCAAAGACTCAAAGTTTATAAAGTCAGATCTTTGCACAAGTAATTTCACACAACATGTGATGAGCCTTCTAACAGAGCATAGCCATGAGGACGGGGATGGTGACAATCTATGTGGCCCAGACACCAAATCTAGCCCACAGCCTGCTTTGTAAATAATGTTAAATTGGAACACAGCCCATTCTTTACAGAGTCTATGGCTGCTTTCCAATGGCAGAGTCAGTAGCTTCAACAGGACTGCAAAGGCTAAGATATTTACTACTTGGCCCTTTGCTGATCCCTATCTAGATCAATGTTTTAAAAGCTTTTAGGTTTGAGAACCCCTTTACAGTTTTAGAAATTAATGAGGGGCCGGCCCGGTGGCGCACTTGGTAGACTGCGGCGCTTGGGAGTGCGGCGGTGCTCCCGCCGAGGGTTCGGATCCCATATAGAGACTGGTCCGCTCACTGGTTGAGCGCGGTGTGGGCGCGACACCGAGGGTTGCGATCCTGCTGCCGGTCGCGGTACGGGTGCGACACTGAGGGTTGCGATCCCGTTACCGGTCATGAAAAAAGACAAAAAGAAAAAAAAAAAAAGAAATTAATGAGGACGCAAAGGCTTTTGTTTATGTGGGCTGTATCTATTGATACTTAATAATTAGCAATTTTTAAATGTTTACTAATTCATTTAAAAAATAAACTCATTGCAAATTAATAGGAATTTTTTATGAAAAAAACTTATTTTCCAAAACAAAGAAAAATTTAGTGAGAAGAGTGGCAGTTTTACATTTTTGCAAATTTCTGTAATATCTAGCTCAATTGACGCGAGCTAGATTCTCACATCTGCTTCTGTTTTCAATCTGTTGCTATATGTTGTCCTGATGGAAATATATGAGGAAAATCTGGCTTCACAAAGATATGTAATTGGAAAAGGAAGAAATGTTTTAACAGGCTTTTTTAGATAATTGTGCATATACTTTTTTTGGTAGTATATTAAAACTTCACAAGTAATAGTTTCTTAAAAATTAGCTGCACTATAGAATCTGAAACCATATCGATGAATTTTCAACTCTGTGACATTAAAATACATTGGTTCATTCAAGATCCACTTGGAATGGGACTTTTACTCATGCATAATTTTGTCATTCTATGCACTCGTTCTTTGGAAAAGATCGATTTATTGAGTTATATAAATGTTCAAAATGTTGATACACTTATACAATATCCTAAAAGATCACATTAATCACTATCATTGTGTTTACTAGAGGCTGGGAAGAGGAGGGGCAGGGGACATAGGGAGAGGCTGGTTATTGGACACAAAATTACAGCTAGACAGGAAAAATAAGTTCTAGTGATGTACTGTAGTACTATATATGATTAACACAATAGGCATCTATAATTAACAACAATTTATTGTATGTTCTCAAATGGCTAGAAGAGAGCTCAAAGAGAACTCACCACAAAGAAACGATAAATTTTTGTGATGAATATGCTAATTACCTTGATCAGACCATCACATATTATATACATATATGGAAATATAACTCCATACCCCATAAATATGTACGATTAATACATTTCAATTTTAAAATAAATTCCTTTAAAAATTAATAATCACTCTCATCAGAAAGGTCTACATATAAAAATCTCAGTGGTGGACATAAAATTCTAATTTTTGCCCTAAAGCTTGAATTCTATGATTGGCAACAAATACTGTCAGTTGTTTTCCTTGATGTAACAGTATTTCACTGTTTGTTTTCAAGAAAATGTCTCCCAAATACCCAAGTCTGAATGACTATAGTTTTCACAGTCATTTCAAATAAAAATTCCCACTAAAAACGTGGTTAGTTTGGCTCACAACTTGAACAATAGTGTAGGTGCTTTTCCCCAAGACAGCTATTGCACTTTAGCACACAGAAATGCTGCATGTATGCTTCCTATAAGATTTAATAAAATTAATAACTTTTACTGTGCCATTAAGGATATTCTTAGGTAAAACTATTTTTTTTTTTTTAAATACAAGTCCATGGCAAGGAAAAATACAATGACTACTGGTACCGTTTGATTCACGCTAAGGTGTCAGCAGTTTTAGCCACCATTGCTTTTGCACCACCTGTGTAAATATCAACACAGCGAAAAAGGCCGATCACATCTTAGTATTTTGAAAAGAGTTTTGACCCTGTAGATTCCCTGAAAGTGTCTCAGCCACTACCAAGGGGTTGGTGGACCACACTTAGAGAACTGCTGATCCAGAAGGTCAAGAATGTCCCTCAGAGGAAATGAGTCTCCTTCAATCCTCTTTTCCTCTTTAAAATATCAGTTACCTTGCAGTATTGCAGTTAAATAAACTGCATTTCCTCAGTCATTCACTCATCCTGACTTCCTAAGAATATATCCTTGCCTATTGCTGAACGTCTGGGGGAAAACTCAGTCTCACCAGCATCAACTCATCTCTCAGATTTACAGTCATCCTCTCACTGCTGTACTTACAGTGATTTTTTATTAACTTTACTCCAGAACAAGGCCATTACTTGTTCTTAATTCTGGAAGTGACTATTTGGGGTTTTTAGCCTGCAATATAATGCCAAGGCCTCTTTTCAACCTTTCTACAGACATTCTCTGAAGGAAGTTCCGAATGGGGCCTAAGAAATTGAGAACTCTCTTTCATAAAGGAGATAGCAGTTTCTTCTAAGGTTTATAACTGGAGGTCTAGACAATTACACGTTATGTCTTCTTCAGCAGTTTTGCTCTTTTCTCATTTCAGACCTTGTAGGTGTTGGATGTGAATTTAACAGGGTACATTATCATAACGGCCAAGTGTTCCAGCCCAGTCCCCTGTTCAGCTGCCTCTGTGTGAGTGGGGCCATTGGATGCACGCCTCTGTTCATACCAGAGCTGGCTGACACTGACTGCTCTCGAGCTGAAGGTGGAAAGAAGTCTAATAAATCAAACTGTGGCCTGGGACCATTACAACAGCAGCTCTCAAGCTACAAAACAATGCCAGGTGCTCACAAGTAGAGCTATTTTACATGTAGGGCTTTTGGTGGAGTTCCTTCATATTTCTTTCATGTACAACAGGTACTCAGTAAGCATTAACTCATTGGTAGTCAGAGTGAGATTTAGTTTGAGTGTACCATCTTACTCAGTCTTTGCCTCAGGCAGGTATAGTCTAAGGATCTGAAAAGGAAACTTTACAATGTTTTGGAATTTTCTGGTAAAATATCCCAGTTTTTAAAAGCTCTGCTAGGTCAGGAAACTGTCCTACAATTTTATGTCTACTTATTTCCAACCTCTTCCCAGACAATAGTGTAGGTGCTTTTCCCCAAGACAGCTATTGCACTTTAGCACACAGAAATGCTGCATGTATGCTTCCTATAAGATTTAATAAAATTAATAACTTTTACTGTGCCATTAAGGATATTCTTAGGTAAAACTATTTTTTTTTTTTTAAATACAAGTCCATGGCAAGGAAAAATACAATGACTACTGGTACCGTTTGATTCACGCTAAGGTGTCAGCAGTTTTAGCCACCATTGCTTTTGCACCACCTGTGTAAATATCAACACAGCGAAAAAGGCCGATCACATCTTAGTATTTTGAAAAGAGTTTTGACCCTGTAGATTCCCTGAAAGTGTCTCAGCCACTACCAAGGGGTTGGTGGACCACACTTAGAGAACTGCTGATCCAGAAGGTCAAGAATGTCCCTCAGAGGAAATGAGTCTCCTTCAATCCTCTTTTCCTCTTTAAAATATCAGTTACCTTGCAGTATTGCAGTTAAATAAACTGCATTTCCTCAGTCATTCACTCATCCTGACTTCCGCGGTGCTCCCGCCGAGGGTTCGGATCCCATATAGAGACTTGGAAAAGAAAATGTCTTGTGCAAGCAACAAAGTGGACTCCCTGCTCCAGAACTTGTGGGATGGGAATATCTAGTAGGGTAACAAATGAAAACAGCAATTGTGAAATGAGAAAAGAGAAAAGACTGTGTTATATCCAGCCTTGCGACAGTAATATATCAAAGACAGTAAAGGTAAAGTATAATTAAATTTAAATTAATTATAATTCAATATTAAAAGATTCCTGAAAAAGTGTATTAGTCCATTTTTGTTGCCTATAACAAAATACCTGCAACTGGGTGATTTATAAAGAAAAACATTTATTGCTTACACTTTCTGAGGCTGAGAAGTCTAAAGTCCATCTGGTGGTGGTGACAGTGACTCAGGGGTCACACATTGCAAGATGGTGGAAGCAGAGAGAGCAGAGAGAGCAAGAGAGACTCTCTTCTTTTAAAGCCCTTAGAACCATGCCCTGACCACCATTTTTAATCCATTTACTACTGCATGGTCCTACAATCCAATCACCTCTTCAAAGCTCTGACCTTTTAATTACCATAATAGGATTTCCCATCCTCTTAACAGTCTCAGTGAGGGCTAAGTTTCCAATACATAAAACCTGGGGAACATAATTCAAGCTCCAGTGTGTTTTGGGGGGACATAATTCAATCCACTACAGTAAGTATGTGTATGTGGTGTGTTCTGGGAGGGAGGGATGGTGTTTGGTTCTTCTAAAAATAAACCACCTCATTATAACTCTTAAAGTCAAACTATTCAGAGGAAAACAGTTATTAATCTAGGTACACTCTGTGGGAAAAATTTTACCAACCAGAGATTTAATGTTAACCTGTTGATTCTGCTTAATAATGAGGGTCTTGATCAGCCTGATTTGTTGTGGTACACTTCCATGTATATTGTTCTTTAAAAGTAGATCCTTTTCAAATTCTAACTGCCCCCCGCCCCCATATTAATTGTATGTAGTGGAATCAAAGCAATGAATAAAAGATTTTGGTTGCTATACCATAATTATGAAAATAGATACTATGAACATCAGAGTAGAGAAATTCTGATCTGTTATATATATCACCAACTTGGAGGGGACCACGCCATTTTCAAAATGCTCTGTGCTTAGATGGTAAACTTGCCAAAGGTGTATAGTAAAATATTTACCCTAAAATTACTTGATATAGCTAGAGTTGGTTCTACTTGAACCAGGCAAGGTGACTGTCTCAAAAGGGTAATTTTTAGAAATGCTACAAAATTCTTCTCATTCCCAAGTTTCTCTCTATCATATTAACAAGTTGACAATTCAATTTTATAGGGATTGAGATATTTATCCATCTACTCACCCACACAAAACTGTCTGAGCTGTGTCAGGGAATTTACTAAGTCTTAGGTAAATAAACATTTAATAAGACATGGCCCTTTATACCAAATGCAACAGAAATTTCCATTTATTGTGGAATTGAGTAAAGGATAGATAGCAAAAAACACTGAGTGAGTCCCATAATATGTTGAAGCAAAAACAGGGAGAATGGACCTCTGGTGAGAGGGGATTTTAAAGGTAGAGAAGAGAGGGTGCTAGAATTCACTAAACAGAAACTATTATTAATGCCCTAGAAATAACTGTATCTGCGTGTTTGTGCTATAAAATGCTATACATAATTTTTCTAACCTGTTATAATCAAATTTAAAGAATGACTTCTTAACTGTATATATTTTTTCAGATCCCCAAAGGAAAAACATGCCAACCTACCTTCCAACTCTCCAAAGCTGAAAAATTTGTCTTTTCTGGATGCTCAAGCACTCAAAGTTACAAACCCACATTTTGTGGAATTTGCTTGGATAAGAGATGCTGCATCCCTAATAAGTCTAAAATGATTACCATTCAATTTGATTGCCCAAATGAAGGGTCATTTAAATGGAAGATGCTGTGGATTACATCTTGTGTATGTCAGAGAAACTGCAGAGAACCCGGAGATATATTTTCTGAGCTCAAGATTCTATAAAAACAAGCATATGGAGGAAAAGTTAAGGTTAGTCTATCATGTTATATAATCAAAAAATGAGAGTGGTTATAAAAGGGTGGTAAAACAAGAATGCCTAGCTATTCTCAGATCACTGTATTTTAAGGCATTAAAGGTTTTTTAAAAAGGTTCTCCTAAAAACATACATAAAATTCAAAAAACTTAAAATTGGACTCATTTCTAAAATATATCCTATAATTATGTAACACACACACACATTTGGTAGCACCTAAGCATTCCATATATAATGGAAAAATTATACAATTTACAAGAAAACATTTTACAAAATCTGGAACACTTTGTTAAAGATATGTAAAAAGCACATTAAAATTTAATCTAAAAGTTTTTATATCAAATACCATAAAAAACTAAATTTCCAAGATGAAGACCAAGAACAGTATCATTAATTTGCAAAGAAAAGAAACTTTAAAAACAAAACGTTCTAAAAGCACACAACAGATTATTTTGGCTTAAAAAGAGATTGCTCTGAAAAATTATTTCCTTAAATGATAAATCACCTATACATCTAAAATATAAATTATGATTAAAAATAATATTAAAGACTAAAACCAGAGATTATAGTAACTGGAATAATTTCACCACTTTTACAGCCATTTACTTCAAGTTTGGAAGACGATATCAAGCTTAGTAATGTTCTGTTCATTTGTATAAATGGTGACATGAAAAACAACAAGTAGCACTGTTGAAAAATATGAACATTTATTATTACAAAATCAACTGGTTTGCTAAAAAAGCAATGACATTTAAAAATAATTTAATACAAATTCTTTTTAGTGCAAACAAGTTGTTACCCGAAGAAGAAAAAAAACCACAATAGTTGTAATAAAACCTATCCCTGAAAAGTTAGTGAATATTACATGGAAATATTTATATTGTGTTCTTCTACTCTCAATACGTATTTTTAAAGAATCAAGAGAACTTAAGCAGAATATGAAAATATAAATTATAAATAAATACAAAAATATATCTGTACAAGATTTTTATTGAAGACATGATTATCAGTGTATGAATGCCTAAATATAAGGTTATAAATAAAGCAAAATATTGAAGAACTGCATTTTCTTAACTTTAGCAAAGACAACTGTCTGAAGTTAAGGTACTAAGACTTCACTAATTTTACACACTAGTATCATCAACGAATTGTGATTAAATGAAATCACTATTCTGACCAAAAATACTTCCTGGTAAGGGCCGACCCCGTGGCGCACTCGGGAGAGTACGGCGCTGGGAGCGCAGCGATGCTCCTGCCGCGGGTTCGGATCCTATATAGGAATGGCCGGTGCGCTTACTGGCTGAGCGCGGTGCGGGTGACACCACACCAAGGGTTGCGATCCCCTTACTGGTCACGAAAAAGACAAAAAAAAAAAAATACTTCCTGATAATATAAAAAACAAATTTGGTTTTCTGAATCACAAAAATGCTGAAACAGAAAAGTGACAAAAACAATGTGAAATAAAGAAAAAGTAAACATTGCACATTTTGGGGGTTTCTTTTTACACAGCTACGCTTAGTCTAGGTAAATCTTGCACAGGCATACTTCCTGTGGCATCCAGTTGGTTATACTCCTGTATGAGTGCTGATACAGAGGACACAGCTTCTGTGAAACAGCTTTCCTCCATCCCTTCAACTTGTACATAGTGATGAAGGTGAGCCTATGAATAAAAAAAACCCTAATATTTACCATTTTAGGAACTTTAACATGTGCAATTGTCCTACACAGTAAATATTCTTTATTAAAATTATAGTTTATTTACCTTTACACTGGAAATGAGAACTTGTATCAAATAGAATGTTTTGCCTAAATTCTATGAACTTGTGAAATTTCTCATTTAGAGGAAAAATAGTATGAGTAAGCCTCTCTTCTTCAATTATAATTAGTATAACAAATATACTATAGACAAGATCATATAACTATACATATGTAAATATAGATAAGATCACTACTGATTTGTAATACCATATTTCTTAAGAACACATCTTAAGTAGACAAAATAAACTCATACAGTTACAAAGGTGTATAATTACCTTTTTCTTGTAGAGCCTCATGAACCTCTCCCTCAGTTCTAGGAAGACAGGCTTCACACATGTGTTATTTGCTAAAGCTAATAATGAATGAGAATGGCCCACAGGAGGTACTGAACATAGGCTGGTCTTCCAGCCTTCTTGATTCCAGGAGACAAACCGAAGAGAAGGCTTTAATCTGAGATACAAAAAAACAAATGTGAGAACTAAGGGACTAAAAATATCTGCCATATTATGGCAGCTCACATTAGTTAAACTAGGACATTGCTGATGGTACCATTCTAATAGCTTAGTTTATATTAAATTATCTTTTTTTTTACTATTAGCAGTATCATGGTACAGTCTGATAGTAAACTAGGATGCATTTAGTAGGGCATTAAATTGGCTGTGATGGTGATTCAAAAAGCTTAAGATTAGAAATCTGGAAATAAAAAAAAAAGAATGTATTTTAATTTTCCTAACTTTGTGATACAGTAGAATAGTTTTCCTAAAAAAGACTGTCAATAAATAGTAAAAAAACTTAGAAGCACTGTAGTACTAGTGGTGGTAATAATAAAAACAATAACATCATCAGCTACAATTTTCTGAACACTTTCAAAAATAAAACATCTCGATTATATCATTTAGTACTCATAAATAAGAACTTTGTACTATTTTCATTCTCACTTTACACCTGGAGAAAACGAGGCTCAGAGAGGCTAAGTAGCCTGCTCAAGGCCACACTTCAGTAAGCGGCATTGCTAGAATTTGAAGAGAGGCAGACTTAGCTACTATGCTACACTGTTCCAGGCAGTACACATAAATTATCTTGAAAAATATAAACCAAACCTTTCAATATTTCTGCGAAGATCTGAAATCTGTACATTTCCTCTAACCATGAGGGCACAGGCGAGGTAGAGACTATGTTTGGGGTCTGCCCGAATTAGCTGGTGATCTTTACTAAAGGCATCTGAAAACATTTGATCCAGTCTAGAACAATGGAAGAGTCACTGTTTATACAAAATATTATATCTTTCGTCTATGTATAAATATAAAATGAAAAAATAGTCATCTATAGGTAAATAAGCTTCATATTAAATATTATACTAACATTAGAATACATTATATACATTCTAAATATCAAAATACATTAAACATTCTAAATATATTAATATTGAAAATTAATATTTTCTCAAAGGAATTTTGATGCTGAATATGAGAAGAGAGGAAATCATGTAATATCTATTGTATCTATATATTTTTTGGGGGAAGCTTCTGCAGCACATTGGTGATTTCAGGTAGCAACAAAATGTTGACTACAGCATTAGAGAGTTCCCTATGTAGTACTGATTTCTGAAATTTGCATCATTATTACTTAGTTAAGTATATTTATCTGCTTATAGTATCAGAATTGTCAAAACTAATTAAAAGCCTACATTAAGAAGATTACTTTGGCTCTGTAAAACATATTATTTCATAAATTAGTAAATAATAATTTGGAGGAAACTATCTAAGGATGATGTGAGCCCTGCCTACAAAAGATGAAACTCTGTAGCAGTGTTCCTAAAAGGGGAGAATTTTAACAGAAGTCTTTTAACTAAAGGATAAAAGATAAATAAAAAAATTGCCTTTTATCCTTCACTTAAAGAAAGATAAAGGTGACTGACAAAGTTTAAGTCTAACAATATTAAAGACCTGGGGATATGGCCCTACTTTGGTTCTTAGATCCCATTT